GTTTACACGTCGGCCGGGGTCGAGCCTGTACACACTAACCACTGGGTCTCCTCCTGTCCCTGCATCTGGTCAGGTAGCTGCGTCAGGTCAGGATTTTGCTGCAGCGTACATGTCTGGTCCACAGTCTACAACCTGCTCCTATCACCTCCTATCGCACGAGACTCTCTTGTGGCACCACTGCCTTGGTCACCCCTCCCTGCTTCGTCTCCGAGGCACCGCCGGCAGCGGGTTGCCCCTCACTCCTCCCAGTTTCCTCCGATAGAGGCCCCGCTGCAGACGCTTCACATTGACGTGTGGGGCCCGGCCCGAGTCTGTGGACAGGGTCACGAGCGCTACTTCCTACTGGTAGTTGACGACTACTCGCGTTACACCACATTCTTCCCCTTGTGCAGCAAGGATGATGTCACTGAGGTGTTGATCGACTAGATCTGTGCAGCTCGTCTCCAGCTCAGGAGGAGCTTCGGCTCGGACTTTCCTGTTCTGCGTCCGCACTCTGATCGAGGCGGAGAGTTCTCCTCTGGCCTTCTGCGAGACTATATCCGTGCGCGAGGCATCCGCCAGACCTTTACGCTTCCGGACTCTCCACAGCAAAATGGGATTGCTGAGCGCCGCATTGGCATGGTCATGGACGTAGCCCGTACGTCCATGATGCATGCGGCTGCCCCCCATTTTCTGTGGTCGTTTGCGGTTCCGTACGCAGCGCATCAGATCAACCTTCACCCCAGGGTCTCCATGCCGGAGACCTCCCCAGCGTTGCTGTGGACGGGGAAGGTCGGCGATGCGTCTGCGTTCCGTGTCTGTGGATCTCGGGCGTTTGTCCGCGACTTGTCTGCGGACAAGCTGTCCCCTCGTGTTGCTCCTTGCGTCTTCCTTGGCTTCCCCCCTGACGCGCCAGGGTGGCAGTTCTACCACCCCACCTCTCGCCGTGTTCTTTCCTCCCAGGACGTCACGTTTGACGAGTCGGTCCCCTACTACCGCCTCTTCCCCTACCGCACTCCGTCCCTCCCCCCGCGACCGCTCTTCCTTGTTCCAGGTCCACCCCTGGTAGACCCCCTCCCCCCTCAGGGTCTTGCCCCTTCAGGTGTGTCCCAGGTAGACGCAGTCGAGCCTGTCGAGGTTACTGGTGACTCTGGTGCTCCGGGGGGTGCTGAGCCTTGGGGTGCTGACTCTGGGGGTGCTGAGCCTACGGGTGCTGAGACTGGGAGTGCTGAGTCTGGGGGTGCTGAGCCTGAAGGTACTACGCCTGGGGGTGCTGAGCCTGGCGGTGCTGAGCCTGGGGGTGCTACGTCTGGAGGTGCTGAGCGTGGGGATGCCACGTATGGCGGTGCTGAGCCTGGGGGTGAGGAGCCTGCGGGGGCTGGGCCAGGAGGTTCTCCGAGTGCTTCGTCTCGGCGGGAGCCAATCTCTCCATAGGAGCTGCGCGAGTGGTTTGCCCGTCGCTAGAGGTGTGCTGCTGCAGCTTAAGTTTCTTCGGCTGTTGAGGGTGGTGGTGCCGCGGGTCCCGGAGGTGCTTGTATTGGGAGTGCTGGAGCTGCTGGGCCTGCGGGTACGACTGGAGCTGGAGCTGCTGAGGCTACTGCTGTCGGTCCTGGAGACGGTCCTACTGGGGTTGCTACTGGTGCTGCTGGACATACTGGAGCTGGAGGTGCTGTTGGCGCTGGTGCTGCTTCTGGGGGTACTGGTGCTGTTCCTGCTGTCTCTAGAGTCGCCGCGCGGTCTCGGCCGTACTTCGTTCCGCTCCTTTAGCAGGTTCTTGGTCTCCCGCCTTCTACTGGTCCTCCTCCTCCATTAGAGTGTCCGCAGCCTGTCTCGTCCCAGTTTTAGTTACAACTGGCCTCCCCACTGCCTGCTCCTTCTCCCTATACTGGTCCTATTGGAGGTCTTGCTAAGCGTCGTGAGCCTGCGTCTCGCCCTGCGTCACCTGTCTGTGCTTCTCGCACTAGTGGTAGCGGTTCGCGTCAGCGTCCTCCTCCTGTCCCTGGCACGCACTAGATGTGTCTGCGTCCGTCCACTGCTCCTCTGCGTGCCCCTTTGCCTTCTCCTCATGACTCCTCTCTTCCTGCTCTTGCCGATCCGGAGTCGGACTCTCTTCGTGCTGCCAGTCCTAGTGTCACGTGTCTCCTTGCTACTATCGTCACTTACCCCTCCTTTGAGTCCACTTCTGCGTCTGCCCTAGTTGCTGAGCTCGTGGACTTTGCTACTCGCTGTCGTCTAGACTACGCTGCTATTCTTGTTGCTGAGTTTGCGTCGGTCTGTCCTCCGTCCTTCGGGGGTGAGTGTGCCCTTGGCACGGACGTCCTTGAGGACAGGCAGGAGGAATTCCAGTGTCTGGCTGCTGCTTCACCTCATCTCGTGTCCGTACTGCTTACCCCTGAGGGAGACCCAGATGCACTTGACATCCCGACTCCGCGTTCTTACACGGAGGCGATAGAGGGTCCCTACTCCTCTCAGTGGCAGGCAGCTATGGACGCAGAGATGGCTTCCTGCAAGTCCACAGGCACCTACGTTGACGCGGTTCCCCCTCTTGGGGCGAACATCGTCAGAGCATGTGGATCTTCAGGGTGAAGCAGCCGCCGGGTTCTCCGCCTGTCTTCAAGGCGCGTTACGTGGCTCGTGGCTTCAGTCAGCGGCAGGGAGTTGACTACTTTCAGACCTTCTCCCCCACCCCGACGATGACCACTCTTCGGGTACTGCAGCACGTTGCTGCTCACCGCGACTACGAGCTGCACTCTCTCGACTTCAGCACTGCTTTCTTGCAGGGTAGCCTGCATGAGGAGATCTGGCTGCGCCGCCCACGTGGCTTCACTGGGACTTTTCCTCCAGGCACCCAGTGGAGCCTCCGGCGGCCAGTCTACGGTCTCCGCCAGGCACCACGTGAGTGGCACAACACACTAAGGACTACGCTTGCGGCTCTTGGGTTTGCTCCCTCTACTGCCGACCCGTCTCTGTTTCTGCGCACCGACACTTCTTTGCCGCTGTTCTACATCCTCGTGTACGTCGACGACTTGGTCTTTGCCACTGGTGACACTGCTGGACTCGCCCACGTGAAGTCTGAGCTGCAGAAGAGTCACACGTGCACAGACCTGGGTGAACTGCGCAGCTACCTTGGCTTGCAGATCACTCGGGACAGAGCACGCCGCACCATTATCTTGACTCGGTCACACATGGTGCAGCAGGTCCTTCAGCGCTTCGGCTTCAGGTACTCCTCGCCCCAGGCCACTCCTCTGCCTACACGCCACTCACTCTCTGCTCTGCCTTCGGATGAGTCCGTAGAGTCGAGTGGCCCGTAGCCAGAGCTTGTTGGCTGCCTCATGTACCTGATGACCTGCACCCGACCTGACCTTGCATACCCTCTTAGCATTCTTGCACGCTATGTTGCTTCTGGGAGACATTGACCAGAGCACATGGCTGCAGCGAAGAGGGTGTTGCGCTACTTGTGCAGTACGTCGGGCATGGGGCTAGTGCTTGGAGGTCAGAGTCCAGTGGTCCTCACTGGGCACGCAGACGCTTCTTGGGCTGACGACCAGGCTACGCACCGGTCGTCACAGGGTTACACCTTCAGCCTTGGTTCCGGCTCTGTTTCGTGGCGGGCTACCCGCTCGTCTTTTGTTCTTGGCTCCAGTTGTAAGGCTGAGATCTACGCCGGGGCCATGGCTGCACAGGAGCTTCGCTGGCTCACCTACCTGCTGACTGACCTCGGAGAGCCGCCTCGTTCTCCTCCAGTGTTGTACGTAGACAACAAGGCCATGCTGGCCTTGTGTCGAGAGCAAAGACTGGAGCACATTGCTTTTTGCTACTTCCTTGCTCGTGAGCTACAGCAGCGTGGTCAGCTGCGTCTTGCGTACGTGGCCTCTGAGGCCAACACTGCTGATATCTTCACCAAGGCACTTGCGCCTTGTGAGCATCAGCGCTTCTGTACTCAGCTGGGTCTTGTGCCTGCCTTGCCTCACTTGCTCACCTCTTGACCTTGCTTGTACTGTTACATATGTATATACGCCTGCTCTTCCTTGTCTAGCCTTTTATATATATATGTGTACTCCTGCATGTGAACTGGTCTTGTGGCCTTGATCTTGTGCTCAGAATGTGTGGTGACGTTGTGATCCACCCTGAGCTTTGTTTTGATTGAGTGGTCTTGTGACCCCTTGTTCTCCCCCACTTTTCGTTTGGGGGTGTGTCAGATTTATATGACATAGCTACTGTAGGCTATAGTGGGGTAGCACATATGGGGTACAACTTTCTAGGGGTTCATATTTGTACCCAACTTTCACTTAGTCATTCATTTCTCGTTCTAGTTTCCTCAGTCAGGCCCAGATGGAATGAGAGGGAGTGGAAGCATATAAACTCCGCATCCACCTGTGCCTGAAACAATCAGAGAAAGAGGGAGAATGTGAAATACGCTTGAGGTGTAACAACAAAAGGTTGATGACGGAATGGGAGGAAGCAGCAACGGGAGATGACAGAATAGAAAGAAAGAGGGGAGACGTGGGGAGACTGCAAGGTACAGGGGGGAAACTGCAGGGTGCAGGGAGGAATGTTCGTTTCCCAAGTGGGAAACAATAGGGTGGGCGGGGGGGAACTGCGGTGTGTAGGGGGGGAGGGTGCAAGGGGGAAACTGCAGGGAGCAGAGGGGTAAATAAAGGGAGCACGAGGTGCACGGAAGAGAGCATGGGGGAAAATGAAAAGTGGAGGGGGGTAACTGAAGGGAGCAGGGGGGGAACTGCAGGGCGCAGGGGGAACAATGACGAGAACGGGATGGCCCACTCACCGCTCTAGCGTGCACACTCAGCGCACTAGCTTGAACACTCACCGCTCTAGCGTGCCCACTGACCCCTCTAGCTTGCACACTCACCGCTCTAGTTTGCCCAATCACCGCTCTAGCGTGCCCACCCACCGCTCTATCGTGCCCACGCACGACTCTAGCTTGAACACTCACCGCTCTAGCGTGCCCACTCACCGCTCTAGCTTGCCCACCCACCGCTCTATCGTGCCCACGTACCACTCTAGGTTGCTCGAAATGCGGGCCCAAGGCGATCTCCTCCATTGCCATGCCCGTTCTCCGGCACCACAATCCCATCTGCATTGCGCTTCCAGCGGGCGAACTCGTACTCGTAGCCGTTTGAAGAGATAGGCACCCGTTCGAGCAAGTGCTCCACCGATGCCATCCTCCCCTCTTGGCTCAACAGAAAACCTGTCCGTTGAGCATCCATGTGCAATTTGATCTGGTCCTTAACCGTCGTTTCATTCTTACCTGCCATACAAAACCAATATCGCATGTAGGAATGAGTACGGGATCTTGGGAGAAGCGAGCACAACCTTTTTTGAGACCGAGGGGGGAGTGGATGCCGGTAGCGTGTGTTGCATGATGTGCCACAGCTCAATTAGAGGCTAAGAGGTTGCCTTGTGTTAGACATTTGGGCAAACGGGGGTTGGGGAGGGGGGGGGAGAGTGGGGGGAGAAGAGGAAATAGTGTAGGGGGAGACCATGGGTTGGGCTGGGGTTCACTGACCACGAAAGGGTGGGGATGTTATGGATGGTACCGTGGGCAGAAACTCACATGAATTCGTTGCTGCATCGAAGAGTTTGTTGACGACGTCGGGTGATGAAGTTACCAGTACGTACATAAGATCATTGAACGACGCATCTCTCCCCAACAGCGCGGTTAGACCGCACCGCATGATGGCAACAAGCAAGGTCATGTGTTTGTTGACTGGCAACATCTTTTGTGGATCCTTATCCATAATGTTCTTCAAGTGTTTCTTCAAATCGTCGCTCGCATTGTTGCTGCTGCTAGCCATGCTTGAGGTTGTGCAACCAAGCTCCTGGGAGGGCACTCGATGGTATGTGATGCTGCAGATGGGGAGTCAGAAGGCAGTTTGAGGGTTTGGGGCACGGGGAGGGGGAGTAGCGGCGGGTAATTAGTCTAGAAGAGGCAATCCAGGTACCCGCCTGCAGAGTGTGCCACGAGCGTCATATAGGAGTCACCTGGCAAGGGAGGGTGCGCTGGGGAGAGAGGGGGGAGGGTGCACGGGGAGGGGGACCTGCGGCGGGCTCTTAGGATGGAAGAGGCATGCCCTTTATTGGACTGCAAAGTGCGCCACCAGCGACACGTGGTTAAAGGGGTAGAGGCAGTGCATGAGGGGGAGAGGGGGTGGGGTGATTGGGAGAGCATGGGGGTAGCGGGTGATTGGGTACGTTGCGCCACACGTGGGATTTGAGCTGTGATGGGGTGAGCGGGGGGGATGGGAAGGGGTGGCATAGAGGAGTGGATGGTGGGAGCTAGGCGCTTCTACGAGGGTGGACGATGGGTGACACGATGAGTGAAGTAGTGGAGCGCGTGACGGCCCAGATGAGGAGGTGATCCCCTTTCGCTCTACCACCGTTTTGTTTGTTTGAGTTATTCATGCATTAGCGGCAATCAGTACCATGCTCTCAACGGCCTTGCTCCAGGCCCCTTGCATCACAGACGGTGCTATGAGGCAGAGAAGTAGTGGAGCAGGAGCAGCAGAGGAGACGAAGCAGCAGAGGAGATGAAGCAGAGGGAAGTGACGTACGAGGGAGGTACGGACGAAGTGATGCTTTCTCGGTCTTGGAAACGGCAGCTGCTCCCTCACTGAGTGCTGCAGAGTGAAGGGGGCAGCAGAATGAGGGGAGGAGCGGAATGTTGCGCGCAGCAGCAGGGGAGCAGAGGAGACCACCTATCCGCGCTCCTACCACCTCCAATCCCTTTTCATGAAAAGGGCAGCTGCCACGTCGCTGGGGGCTGCAGAGTTACGGACTTGGCAGGTGGGACCCCGCTCGCTCCCCCCTCCCTGCGCTGTGCTGCTTCTGGTGCTGTGGAGTGATTGGAGGTCAGGTGAAAAGGAGTGGAGGAGCAAACGAGATGTGCATCAAATAGAGAAGCAGCTACAGAAGAGAGGCCACGAGGACACTACCGGTGGCTGCGGGGGAAGTGTGGGGGGGGAGGGGTTGGGGTGATAGGAATAGAAGGGGGGGAGCACGGCAGACAGGCAGAGGCGCGCCTCCCACCTGCTGAGTGCGGCACAGGACCACACCTGGGGGCCGCATGCGGGGGATAGGCGGGGGGAGAGGGGTTGGGGTGATAGGAAGAGAAGGGGGGGAGCATGGCAATCAGGCAGAGGCGCGCCTCCCACCTGCTGAGTGCGCCACCAGACCTGCCCTGGGAGGCGCATGCGGGGGAAGATGGGGGGAAGCGGGGTTGGGGTGATAGGAAGAGAAGGGGGGGAGCATGGCAGTCAGGCAGAGGCGCGCCTCCCACCTGCTGAGTGCGCCACCAGACCTGCTCTGGGAGGCGGATGCGGGGGAAGATGGGGGGAAGCGGGGTTGGGGTGACAGGAAGAGAAGGGGGGGAGCACGGCAATCAGGCAGAGGCGTGCCTCCCACCAGCTGAGTGCGCCACCAGACCTGCCCTGGGAGGCGCATGCGGGGGAAGATGGGGGGAAGCGGGGTTGGGGTGAAAGGAAGAGAAGGGGGGGAGCACGGCAGTCAGGCAGAGGCGCGCCTCCTACCAGCTGAGTGCGCCACCAGACCACACCTGGGGGCTGCATGCGGTGGATAATCGGGGGGAGAGGGGTTGGGGTGACAGGAAGAGAAGGGGGGGAGCAAGGCAGTCAGGCAGAGGCGCGCCTCCCACCTGCTGAGTGCGCCACCAGACCTGCCCTGGGAGGCGCATGCAGGGGAAGATGGGGGGAAGCGGGGTTGGGGTGATAGGAAGAGAAGGGGGGGAGCACGGCAGTCAGGCAGAGGCGCGCCTCCCACCTGCTGAGTGCGCCACCAGACCTGCCCTGGGAGGCGCATGCGGGGGAAGATGGGGGGAAGCGGGGTTGGGGTGAAAGGAAGAGAAGGGGGGGAGCACGGCAGTCAGGCAGAGGCGCGCCTCCTACCAGCTGAGTGCGCCACCAGACCACACCTGGGGGCTGCATGCGGTGGATAATCGGGGGGAGAGGGGTTGGGGTGACAGGAAGAGAAGGGGTGGAGCACGGCAGTCAGGCAGAGGCGCGCCTCCGACCTGCTGAGTGCGCCACCAGACCTGCCCTGGGAGGCGCATGCAGGGGAAGATGGGGGGAAGCGGGGTTGGGGTGATAGGAAGAGAAGGGGGGGAGCACGGCAGTCAGGCAGAGGCGCGCCTCCCACCTGCTGAGTGCGCCACCAGACCTGCCCTGGGAGGCGCATGCGGGGGAAGATGGGGGGAAGCGGGGTTGGGGTGACAGGAAGAGAAGGGGGGGAGCACGGCAGTCAGGCAGAGGCGCCTCCCACCTGCTGAGTGCGCCACCAAACCTGCCCTAGGAGGCGCATGCGGGGGAAGATGGGGGGAAGCGGGGTTGGGGTGATAGGAAGAGAAGGGGGGGAGCATGGCAGTCAGGCAGAGGCGCGCCTCTCCCCTGCTGAGTGCGCCACCAGACCACACCTGGGGGCCGCATGCGGGGGATAGGCAGGGAGAGAGGGATTGGGGTGACAGGAAGAGAAGGGGGATCTAGCGGGGCAGTCAGGCAGAGGCGCGCCTCCCACCTGCTGAGTGCGCCACCAGACCTGCCCTGGGAGGCGCATGCGGGGGAAGATGGGGGGAAGCGGGGTTGGGGTGATAGGAAGAGAAGGGGGGGAGCACGGCAGTCAGGCAGAGGCGCGCCTCCCACGTGCTGAGTGCGCCACCAGACCTGCCCTGGGAGGCGGATGCGGGGGAAGATGAGGGGAAGCGGGGTTGGGGTGACAGGAAGAGAAGGGGGGGAGCACGGCAGTCAGGCAGAGGAGCGCCTCTCCCCTGCTGAGTGCTCCACCAGACCTGCCCTGGGAGGCGCATGCGAGGGAAGTTGGGGGGAAGCGGGGTTGGGGTGACAGGAAGAGAAGGGGGGGAGCACGGCAATGAGGCAGAGGCGCGCCTCCCACCAGCTGAGTGCGCCACCAGACCTGCCCTGGGAGGCGCATGCGGGGGAAGATGGGGGGAAGCAGGGTTGGGGTGATAGGAAGAGAAGGGGGGGAGCACGGCAGTCAGGGAGAGGCGCGCCTCCCACCAGCTGAGTGCACCACCAGACCACACCTGGGGGCCGCATGCGGGGGATAATCGGGGGGAGAGGGGTTGGGGTGACATGAATAGAAGGGGGGGAGCACGGCAGTCAGCCAGAGGCGCGCCTCCTTCCTGGTGAGTGCGCCACCAGACCTGCCCTGGGAGGCGCATGTGGGGGAAGATGGGGGGAAGCGGGGTTGGGGTGATAGGAAGAGAAGGGGGGGATCACGGCAGTCAGGCAGAGGCGCGCCTCCCACCTGCTGAGTGCGCCACCAAACCTGCCCTAGGAGGCGCATGCGGGGGAAGATGGGGGGAAGCGGGATTGGGGTGATAGGAAGAGAAGGGGGGGAGCATGGCAGTCAGGTAGAGGCGCGCCTCTCCCCTGCTGAGTGCTCCACCAGACCACAAATGAGGGCCGCATGCGGGGGATAGGTGGGGAGAGAGGGGTTGGGATGATGGGAAGAGAAGGGGGATCTAGCGGGGCAGTCAGGCAGAGGCGCACCTCCCACCTGCTGAGTGCGCCACCAGACCTGCCCTGGGAGGCGCATGCGGGGGAATATGGGGGGAAGAGGGGTTGGGGTGATAGGAAGAGAAGGGGGGGAGCGCGGCAGTAAGGCAAAGGCTCGCCTCCCGCCTGCTGAGTGCACCACCAGACCTGCCCTGGGAGTTGCATGCGGGGGAAGTGCTGGAGGAGAAGAGGAGCCGTCGTGATAGGGTGAGCAGGGGGGTAGCGGGGCGGTCAGGCAGAGGGGCGCCTCCCGCCTGCTTTGCCCCAGTCAGTGGTGGCATAGCTGATGCACACTTCACACTTTGAGGCGGGGCGAGAAATTAATTGGTGCAAGATTACAGCCTCACCATCAATGCGAGCTGCGGAACGACGTTTATTAGGGCTGCGTGCTAAACAATCGCATGCGCCAGCATTGAGGCTCTTCGTGCTTTGGCGGCTCTTCTCAAGACGTCCAGTGATTTGCCGTGTACCAGAAGCTTCCCTAAACTGGTTGAGGCAACTTGATTATGCCGTGGCATGTGACTCACGCGGTTGATAGGGTCGTTTTTGCAGAGCTAATTAGCAGCTCGTGCTCACCGTTCTGACGAGTAGCACACACTCGTCGGTGGTGTCGAAGGAAAATGCCTTGTGTCGCCTCGTCGAGTTCCTAGCTGTAAAGCTTTATGGTGGTCGGTCCGCACGTTACGGATGTGGTCCGTTTGCACAAGCTGCGCATGAACTTCAATGCTGGTTCTCGCTCTAACTGTTGGTGATACGACGGTCCGGTTGGTGGCGGCATTGCTGCGCCATATTATAGGGTCGCTTGGTTCCGTTTTCTGCTGTCTATATCTAGCGTAATATGCTTGTTAGGCTGCGTGAGTGCCTCCGCTTGTTTGCTGTATGTAACTGCGTCTCTAATTTCCTCGAGCTGGTGGAATATGTTTGTTCCCCCTGGTGGTGGAAAATCGCACAGGGTGGTTGAGTCGCACGATCGAATCATGCGCTTAGCAATTTGCGTCGCCAGGTACATTTCCACACCTTGGGGTGGTGCACGTTCAATTGCTGGTTGGCACGTACGACAAGCCTTTCCTCTCGAGTCTGTTTCCCAATCTGACCCCAACCCTGTGCCCACCAACAGTGGTCGTTTGGCGAACTAAAACTGGTTACCCGATTTTAACCATATTACACTTGGTTGGGAGGGCGGAAATATGAGACGCATGCTTTAATGGGAATTGGGTGCTGGCCCCGCCCTCGCTTGGGTGAAGCCGACTTCGAGGTTGGGTGTGCGATAGGTGTAGCTGACCATTCGCAGAGGTCGACGCCAGCCTGGACGTGCAGGTCGACGAAGTTGGTCGACCTGCGTGGGACTGCTGTGGCACCGCCGTCGATGGGAGTTGGTTGACCTGTGCGGAACTATTGTGAAGCCGTCGACGATGATATTTTGACAGCATAAGCCGACCAGGCTGGGTGACCCTTTTGTCGACCAGGGTGGGCACCGACTTCTACTGAGTGGTCGACGAAGGTGTTTATCGACCTGCTAAGGCGTCGACTTGGCAAAGTCGACCGGAGATAGCTGTGTGGTCGACGCGCCTGCACATCAGTTGGCGGGTTCCGGCAGCGCAAGTCGACGTCGACTTGGCGGTTTCCTTGTCAACCATGTAACCTGCTCGATTAGATTCTGCGGAGGTGTGCGAACGTCGTCGAGGCTGTTGTGGCAAAGTTGACTGACGTGTTAGGACGTGGTCAACGTAGCTCTTCATGTGCAACTGTCACCACGTGACCGACTTCACACCTGCGCGACGGTGCACAATGTGCTCGACCGTCGCTGCACACCTACGAAGTAGGTAAGCACCTGCGTTGTTATCACCTACGGATGCAACGCTGGTAGACTGCTCTGCTGCAGCGTTGGCAAGTTGCCTTGGTGCAGCGCTAACAAGCCACCAATTCGCTCCATTGTTAAGTCACCTTTCTGCAACGCCAGCACGGTGCCTCTACGCAATCCTGGCAGATGTCTGATGGAAAGCGCGTGAATCTGGAGAGCGTACAAGAGATTAAGTCCGCCGACTTCGACGGAACACTGCGTGCAGCTCACGTAACCTTAAACTATGAGCAGGTACGCGTTGGAAAGGTCTTAATCTCTACTTTCCAGAATAGTAACGCACGTTTTCAACCAAGATCTAGACCGATCGCTATCGCGATTTAAGTGCGACGGTGTATTCTGGCGGAATTAGTAGGCAGCCATGGATTAGACCAAAAGACTAGCTTTAGTAAGAGTTCAGATCTGAAAAGTGACGAGTTGTTCAAACCCTACCAACCCAACCCTCGCCCTACAACAATCCCCAACAACCCAAAGTGCTAAACTAGCATTACCAAAGGTGTTGTAGTGAATAGCAAAGGTTTGTTGGTGCTTGTTGGGTGCGAGATCAATACCAACCCGCAACAAGTCTAACCACCACATTTTGCCCAAACCCTTAGCCCACAACCAGCTAGAGCAAAATACCACAACCACCTACACAATCAACACTTCCCCTTGCTCGTGCTGGAGGTGGCTGAACACCACTGGGCAAAATCCTTCACTTCACTCCCCCTTGCCCAGGGAAGGGCGCCATCCACAGCATGAGGTCGTCAATGCAGAGAAGCATCAGTCCTCCCACATCCTACTCAGGCACCATGCTGACATGGGGCTGCATCCCCATCAAGGACATGCACACACCATGCCGCTCAAAAGTGAGGGGTTTGGTGAGTATATCTGCTGCTTAACGGTTGGTGGGGCACCACCGGAGGATCACCTCGCTGCACGCCACCATCTCCCTGATGAAATGCCACCGAACATGCATGTGCTTGGTGCGGCCATGCAAGCATGCATTCTGTGCAAGGGCAATGGCAGACTGGTTGTCCACAAACACAGGCACACCACCAGCAAACTCATGCCCAAACTCCCCAAACAACCGCTTCAGCCACACACCCTCCTGAATGCACTGACACAGACTGATGTACTCACTCTCAGTGGTAGACAATGCAACCACTGGCTGCCTCTTGCTCTGCCAAGAGATGGCTGCACCATTAAGGCAATAGACATAGCCGGTTTGACTCTTGCGATCAGCTGAATCTCCAGCATAATCAGCATCACTAAAGCCCACCAACTCAACCTGAGGCTTGTTGTGTGCGGGGTAGAAGATACCGAACTTGACACAACCTTTCAGGTACCTTAGCACTCTCTTAGCAGCCTGCAAGTGAAATGCCTTGGGACAAGACACGACCTTGGTCAGCTGTGACACTGCATAAGCAATCTGGGGCTGTGTGGTCATGCTGGCATACATGAGAGACCCCACAATGCTTTGATAGAGCTTGACCAGCTCATCTCGCAGCAAGGGCTCCTCAGCATGTGCATGCACGTCGAACCCTGTAGGGAGAGGGGTACGCACGGGGTTAGCCTCAGAAAGGCCAAAGGGCTCAAGCATGTTGAGAATATACCTCTCTTGATGAATCAGAATGCCACTCTCATCACGCTCAATCTGCACCCTCAAATAGTACTTGGCCTCCCCCAAGTCCTTCATGCGGAACCGAGAGGACAAGAGACCCTTCACCTCTTCCAGCAAGACCATGCTCGAGGACATGAGCAGAATGTCATCCACATAGAGGTAGAGGGACAGCCTGCCCTCACGCCTCACCAAGTGGTACAAGGCGGGGTCACACTCCGACCTCTCAAACCCAAAATCCATTAGCGCCTCATCAAACTTGAGGTACCACTGCCTTGGAGCTTGCTTTAGCCCATAGATTGAGTTCTTGAGTCGGCAAACTCTACCGGACCCATCATCAAACCCAAGTGGCTGCCTCATGTAAAGCTCCTCCTTCAAGACCCCATGAAGATAGGCGGTGGTCACATCCATGTGATGGATGTGAGACCCCGAGGATGCTGCCATCCCAAGGGAACCTCTCAGGGTGGTAGGTTTACCCACCGGGGTATATACCTGGTCATAGTGAACGCCTCGTGTTTGAGTGTTCCTCATGGCCACCAACCTGGACTTAGGTCTCTCAATACTCCCATCAGCCATGTGCTTATACTTCCACACCCACTGACACCTCAAGACCTCCATTCCAGGTGGCACACAAGCTGGATCAACCAGCTCAAAAGACTCGTTCACCCTATGAGACTCAAGCTCCTCACGCATGGACTCGACCCACTCAGGACGAGACAAGGCCTCCTTGACCGACTTAGGCTCATGCACCTGACCCATGAGACAGAAATCAAGCCCAAGCTCACCCCCCTCAGCATCCACAAGCATGCACTCCTTCATATCTTGCACCTCATGATCATGCATGCAAGCATACTGTGCACTTGGTGTGAACCTTTCGGGTGGCCAGGAGATGCGTGTGGTGCGGCGCAGAGGTGATGCCTCCCCCTGCTCCAAACTTTGCAGCTTCTCCTTCCAAGTCACTCTCTTCATGGGGGACCGTGGTGACTTGGACAGCTGCTGCTGCAGTATTTGCTGCCACCTACCCACATGAACAGGTGGTGTATGCTCCTGTGGTGGCTGCTGCGGCTTCTCTTGTTGCTGCTGCTGCCCCTGTGGCTGCTCCGGGTCATGGGCTGGTGCGTTAGGGTCGGGGGTAGAACCAGCAGTTGGTGACTCCTCATGGTGAGGTGCAGCTGCCTTTTGTTCCTCTTGCTGCTCCTCTACCTCCTCTCCAGGGTCCTCCCATGCCCCCTCAAAGATGGAAGAGGTGTAGGGATCCTGAAGGGAGTTCCCAACTGTACTAGCACCATGCTCTTTCCACCCCTTATAGCTCAGCCCCTCGTGGAAAACCACATCCCTGATTTCCACCACTCGCTGATCTGCCACACTCCACAACATCCAAGCTTTGCTCCTCTCCGACACCCCAAGAAAAATGCCCCATTGTGCCTTAGGATCCAGCTTCCTCCGTTGCTGGTCGGGCACTTTGTACTGCGCCATGCACCCCCACACTCGTGCCATGGACACACTAGGCACCTTCCTGGTCCACATGAAGTAAGGGCTCTTGCCCCCTAGCCCCTTGCTGCCCATTCTGTTCTTAACCCAGTTGGCATATTGCACTGCTGCCCCCCACCAAGTAGGGTCCAGCTGCGCATGAGCAAGCATGGCTCGGGCAAGGTCAATGAGGGTCCGGTTTAGCCGCTCCGCTGCCCCATTTTGCTGCGGCGTGTAGGCGACTGAAAGCTGGTAGGTGATGCCCTTGTCTTCAAGGAAAGACTCTAGATCCTTCCCCATGTACTCCCCACCCCGATCGGACCTAAGTATTTTCTCCTTGGCCCCGGCTTCCC